AGGAAACGGGGAGGATGTTTACTACTCAACAATTGGTGGTGATTCAAATGTATTAATTTCATTCATTTTTGTGTATTTTATGATTAATTAATAATAAATTAATAATAATAGTCTAAGTTATAAATAGTAAGTAATATAATTAAATTATTTAAAAACGATATCTTCGTAACACAATCTCATTATCTCAATTTCATCATATTGCAGAATTAACAAACATTTAATGCTTCAAAAATTCAGAACAAAACAATGTGAAAAGTACGTCAATTGAGTTGGAAGACAACAACACTCTTTGGCGTGAATTCGTCTTTATCAGTTAATTCGTTTGATTTGGCGGTGAAAATGGTTGGGTTGCAAAAATTCCCATCAACACCTTTCTTGTACACACGTATATCATTGCCACTACCAAATCCAAAGAGTACCGAACTGCCCTGAGAACACAGACCAAATTCTAAATCGGGGTTATCGCCACTTTTCTCGAACTTTCTCGGCTTCAAAGTCCCATTTCTTACAAGTGAAAAGATAAATGAATTTTCGCCATTGAGATCAGCGTTAAGAGTGTGAATTGCACCAGTGAACACGCCACCAAACTTGTTGTTATTTGTGTCTTCTATTAAAAAGCATAAGTTGCTTTTATTTATGAGTTTTTTATCAAACACAGAATTGTTTTGTGACCAGTTGTCTTTATCTGAGTCAAACACAACACTTTTAATCTTCATTTTAGTCAATTTTTCAAGACTGTTTTTTTCCTCGAGTGTGATGTGTTCTCTTCTCATTCTCTCGGCTTCTGTTTGTTGTTTTTTAGCATTGATGAATTTTTCAGAGTTTTGTATTTCTTTTATTGTGTTGTTTTTTGCTTGGACAATTCTTTTGATTTCATCTTCATGTGGTTTTATGTCAAATTTGCACTTCTCCTCGGCAAGTGCAATTCTGATGTTGAAAATTTCATACATTTTTTCATTGTCACTTTGTAGTGAATATGAAGCTATTTTACTTCTAATTTTATTTGACATAACATCCAATTTAGTGACAATTGTGTTGAGTGATGTTATGATGTTCTTCTTTCTTTCGAACACTTCATCGAGTCTGTCGAAGTGTCCCTCTGCATTTTCAATGCGCTGTGCAATGTCAAGTGACTTGTTGTCAACATAATTATATTCCTTTTTTGATGTATGGAAATTAGATACCGCCTTTGCTGTATTCGTACAAAGCACTGAAAGTGCTGTCAACTCTTTTTCCATATATTTAGTTTAGTTTTTGTTCTTTTAATTTACTAAACCTCAACCAAGAAAATCGCAGTTCACTCAGTTCTGAATTTCAAATAAGTTCAAAGACCGAATAAAACTCTTTTATAAAATCAGTTTATATCTTTTTTAATTAAATACCAAACTATACAAACAAAAATTAAGCTCTTTTTAGATAAATATTAATTTTACAAATTATTAAGATTGTTATCAATCAAAAAGTTAAAATTAACAAATATTTATTATTGTATTATAATTAATAATTAAAAGTATTATTAAAAATTATTTTTTTTTTCTGAACAAATGTTAGTTGTGGTTTACAATTGTTAATAAGTTTTTAATTCAATTCAAACAGGTCTAAACCTATAATTATAGTTTAAATTATATTCAATATATTAGATTTTTTTTTCAAAAAAAACAATACTAAAAAAAACTGTTAATTGAAAAAAGATGATAAACTATATTTTTATGATTTGATTATTAATTGAATTTGTAAAGTTTATTTATAGAAAAAAAAACAAATCACAGTTTTAAAATTTGTTGTATCTAATTACTAGTTTTTAATAATTCAATAATAAAATTACTATAATAAAAAAAGTGAAGTAGAAATTTATAGAAAAACAGATTTGAAGAAAAATTTAAAAGAGTTTGTAGCGAGATATTCTTTTGACTATTTAAATGTTTAAAGTCTTTAAAAATATAGACTCTATGGACACACAACTGACTAATTTAAGAAACAGGACAATCACTGCGTTTGTCAAGTTATATCACAGTGGGCGCTTTGTTGAAGACATTGACTCATTACCAAATATGTTATGTGGTGAAAATTGGGTACCTTCTTCTCGTTTTGTAAAATCACGAGAACAAGAAGAGAATATCCACAAAGAACGGATCTTATCTCTCTTAGGATACGTTGCTGGTGAGTACGATATGGCTACACCACTGAGTGTCTATGCCAAGAAGGCCTTAGAACGCACTGGATTGCACGAGCCAGTGTTTGGAATTGCAGAAGCTCCTTGTAACAAATGTAACACAACTGGGTTCAGAGTGACGAACATGTGTGAAGGTTGCACCGCTCGTCCATGTTACACAAATTGCCCGAAGAAGTGTATTGATTTTGATGAGAATGGACAAGCTCGAATCGATCAAAATATTTGCATCAAGTTTGTTGTCTAATAAAATTAATAAATTAATATTACTAATAAAGTATTATAATACAATGGTATTAATAGAACAGATGTGGTAAATGTGCTAAAGCATGTCCATACACAGCAATTATCAAAAAGACAATTCCGTGTATGGCTGCCTGCCCTGTTAACGCCATTTCAAATACAAAAGATGGCGTTAAAGCAATCAATTATGACACTTGTATCAAGTTTGTTGTTGTATTGAGACGATTCTGTCGAACAAGAAGAAGTATTGATGAATAGTTGTGGTGGGTGTATGCGAGCGTGCCCATTCGCTGCCATTTTACCAAGAAGCAATTTGTTGGACGTTTTACAACGTCTCCACAAAACAAAGATATACGCATGCCCAGCTCCATCCATTGCGGCCCACTTTGGTAAATTTGATGTGTCTGTTGTTGCGTCTGGATTAGTTGCGTGTGGATTCACTGGTGTCGAGGAAGTTGCATATGGCGCCGATCTTACTGCCACACACGAAGCCGAAGAGTTTGTCGAGAAAATAGTAAACAAGAAGGAAGCGTTCATGACCACATCCTGCTGCCCTGCATATATTAATGCAATTAATAAGCATATCCCCGACTTAAAACCAAATGTTTCGCACACACCAACACCAATGGGGTTCGCTTCCATGGGAGTCAAAGAACTTGGTAAAGACTGTATCAGTGTCTTTATCGGTCCGTGCAACGCAAAGAGGTGGGAAACTTTACAAGATCCCAACACAGACTTCTGCTTGACTTTCGACGAAATATTTGGACTCTTTGAAGGTTCTGGGGTGAAATTGGATGGCATGACCCCCTACACATTCCCACATGTTTCACATAAAGAAGGAAAGATATTTGCAGTGTCTGGAGGCGTCGCATCCGCAGTTGCTTCATTGCTACCAAAAGACATTGATCCTTCAATTCTGAAGCCAGTCGTCATCGACGGGTTCACTCCAGAAAATTTCAGGAAGCTCAAAAACTTTAAGAAAAACCCAACCGGAAATTTGGTGGAGGTGATGGTGTGCGAGGGTGGATGTGCATACGGCCCGGGATGCCCAGGGTTGAAAGCACCAGTGAGTGCTGTAAGAATCAAAATGGCTGTCGATAAAGCACCAGCTTGTGAAGGTGGTCATTGGGTTGGAAAGGCCGACAGTGAAGTTAAGCCGATAAGCTCCAAAGCATAACTGCAGTGTTTCGTTTCATCGTGGTTTTTCTGCGCTCTTCAAACTGTTCATTCTGCACAATAAAAAATGAGAGGTTGTGATTGCTGAGTGATTTAAAATGGTTTTTAGAAAAAATATACTATAACAGTTTTGACAATATTAGACACCGTTTGTATTTTTATAACAATATAATATATATACACAATTAATGGATGATTGTTTTTAAGTAATTTTATTATTATTTTTATTAGAATAAGGGCAAGATTAAATAATACTCTTCTTGTTTTTATTTATCTTTGCTTTTGGGTAATGTACCAAAAATTTGGGAAATTTCCCGATTTTGTGAACAAAAACTGTTTCAAACTATTTATTATTGTTCACAATAATAAAAGTTTTTAAGTTGTTCATTCAAAAATGCCAAGAAAAAAAATAAAAAAATAGGTTTTGCTGGCTTTATAAAAACGAACCAATTTTAGTCAAAAAAAGTCCAATAAAACGGGGTTATGAAACATCAAAAATGGTAAAAGACTGATAACAATTCACCCCCCAAAAGAGTAATGGTAACAGAACTATATAAAATGTGTGAACATCACTCATGTATTATACATATATAATATATTTAATATTAATATATAATAATAAAGATAACAGATTATTAAGTCACAAAATAGTTTTCGCTCAACATTTGTAAAAATAGTTTTGTCTGGGAGTAACCCTTTCACGGTTTCCCGAATTTTTGGGGTATAACGTAAAGTATTTAAATATATCACTAAGACTATATAAACCCTCAATCTCGTTTTTTGAGATATCTGCTATGGGAAACACTGAGACACAGTACGTCAGAAAGCCGAAGATTATGACTTTGCCTACTTCACCAGCCGTTTTCTTCGAATCTTTTTCACCAGACGATTTTGATGCCGATAAAAACCTCCAAATGGACGAAGTCTTGGAGGCAGAAGATTTTTATCGGTCAAAATCAACAAATTGTGTATTTCCACAGAAAAAAGAGGAAACTCATGGGGCTGAAGAACAGCACATAATCCCGAATTTTTGCGGGGTTTTAGACCCAACCAAATTCATTGACTTTTTCAAATTCAAAACTCAAAATAATGTTATTGAAATGTTATACGATTCTTCACAAGACGGGTTGGACTCACGTGATTTTCGCGCAAAAATTACAGGAAAGAAGAATTTGCTTTTCGTTTTGGCTTCTCAAAATTCATGTTTTGGACTTTTCCAATCGGATCCACTTGCGTCCGTTCCACCACGTTCATCACTTCACGCAGATTCTCAGGACATGTTCTTATTTTCCCAAAATCTCAACATTAGTAATGAGAACGGCCGGAACGAGGATGGCTGCATCCATATATATACCAAAAAAAATCAAAGCAAAAAATCGGTTGTGTTATACCCAGCCGACTCGTCTCTTCTATTCACATGTTTCTCCGCTTTTTGGGTCGATTCCAAGCTCGATGTTTCCTTCAACTTTAACATTAATGAATATTATGACACACAATCGCTTGACCAATATCCTTTATCTGGCGGTTTTGAAAAGGTAAAATGCCAAAGACTTTTTGTCTTTTCTTTGTGTTAATTTGTGTATTTTTTATTATTAATTGTTCTGTTTTAATTAACGAGTTCTCTACTTTTTATTAATGTTAATTATAACGAAATTAATTATTTAAAATAGTTCAAAAAACAATTTGAAAAGTCGTTAAATTATTTGAATAACTCATTAATAATAAACAACACGTTAATTATTTTTCGTTTGTCCAAGTTTGATAATGAGAGTTGAAAATGACACAATCTCGCTGAATAAAATGTTGAAATCAAAAAATGGCAGAACGAACAACCAAAAAGACAGACAACTCGATTTAGAAATACGGAATGGCAATCCACTTGATGAAAATAACAAGAAGAATAGCAAGTACCAACAACACAATAATGACGATTTGGACTATTTTGTCTGTTATTAATCGGAAAGTCATTCGTTTCAATTTCGAGTCTGCGACTGTGACGTTGGTATCAATGTTGTCAAGCTTGCAGTCAATAGAATTCATTTATAGTACTGTTAACTATATATAATAGTTAATCAAGTAATAAATTTGTGAAGCTATTTTATAATAAAAAAATAACTATAATTATAATACAGAGTAACAAACTTTGTCATTCACGCTGTGAAGTTGCTCCCTCTGCCCAACAAGCATTTGGTGAGTCTCAGCCCCTATTTGTTCGTTTTCGTATCCGACACTGAGAGCTTCGTCAAGCATTGCATTTTGTTTTTGTAAAAGCTGCTGTGCCTGGTTGTAGTTGTCACCCATTATGTTCGAAAATCAAGATCATTTTTTGGAGTTCTCCATCGGTTTTCTAGAATGACATTTCTATACCAAAACAATTTCAAAATGTTATTCATTGTACTATTACTAATAATATTTTAAATTATCATTTATAATATGGAAGTTATTATAATATTCATTATTATAATTAATTAAATCAATAATTATAATTTTTTTTTTGTTTAATAATTATAGAAATTTTTATTAAATATATATTATATTTTATATGAAATAGTATATTTCATAATATACAATATCAATAAAGATTATACGATATATATGTTAAATATTAAGAACAGATATTTCAAACAATTCATTTAAATAACAAATTAATAATTCGAATATAAAATTAATAAACACTTTATAAATTGGTAAATACTATTAATATAATACAATTTATCATAATATCACACTCTTGATAAAGACCAATTCATTCAGAAGATATTTTATAGAATAAAAAAACAATCTAATATTATAATATCAATAAAACTAAATAGTAAATCTCATCATATAAGGCAAAAACCTCAAACCATCTTTACAAAACACAAACCTCAAACCGTCGGAACGATAAAAAAGGAACTTATAAATATAGCCAAACACATGTCAATGCCCGAAGTAATTCTCCATCCGTTAGCAATTTTGACGATCACACAAAGTGCGACATACACGACTGTCAATTTTTCTTCGACCGCCCCGCGACGCAGTGTCGGGATATTGATGGGATTAAAAAAAGGGGATTCGATTGTCATCCGATGTGCTCTTGAATTTCCCGAGTCGGAACTCCTCGAAAAAATGCAAAATGGGTTAAAACTATTTAAAGAAGGAAATAAAGATTACGAGATTGTCGGGTGGTTTGCTGCTATGGCTAATTGTGAGCCACAAATGGCTGACATCGACTTCCATCAGAAAGTCTGTGCCGATCAAAATGGAGTCTTCTTGTTATTAAATACTACAAAGTGTTATGACCCAAAGACTGATAAGATTCCTGTGACTCTTTGTGTGGTCCGAAATAACCTCTTCGTTCCGTGCAAGTACTCAATTGCTGTTTGTTTAGTTTTTTGTATTTATAATTACTATACTACTTGTAATCTTTATTACTCTTTGAGATATTATTCTTTATTAATTTAGTTATTATTTGATATAGTACAATGTTAATTCAGTATTATTATTAATCAATATTTATAATACAATAATTTTTATTTGATTATGATTTAT